TTTTTTAATAAAAATATAAATATATTCTAACAATCTGCTAAGCTAATTAGGTAATGCTAGTATTATTTAGGTTAAATGCTAAATTTAGTCTCTCAACTTTAGTGAGTTACACATTTTTGGTCCCTTAACAATTTTTTACACTTTTTTTATCCCTCAATTCTAAGAAATGCACACCATTAGTCCTTCCGTCAATTTCGACTGTTAACTTTGCCCATGTGGCATTTTTTATATTTTTTTTATGATGTGGAAAGCAAAATTTAAAAAAGTGATGATATGGACAAAATGTTTTGCCATGTCATGTTCCCATGACTTAAAAGCACCAAATCCACTCAAAGAGGCCCCACATTACCTGCCAAAGCACCAATAAAGAAAGATGTATTTTGATGATATGGCAAATTATGTGACATTTTCTATATTTTTTTAATGATGTAACAAATTAAATTAAATTTAAATGCTTATATGAATAAAAAATAATATCAAGTCAAATTTCACTAATTAATCATCATTAAACTATAATTATTTATGTTAATCAAAATTGACATTCTAAAATAATTTATAATTAAATCACAATTTTCTTATCTTTAATAGACATTATGTTTTCTCGGTAACCAAATAGATTGAAAGCATTTTCTTAGCATCCAAACACCCAAATTATACAATTTTCTAGCCAAACAAATGGGAACCCACTAAGAATTCTCTTTGCCCATCAGTCACTACTTCTGTTCTTTCCATCGCCGACGATGTTCTTCCCATTTTGAACATTGAAATCATTTAGACAATACTTAGAAAATATGAAGAAAAGGATTCCAAAAATCCCTCACAACCTGCAATTTGCATAAACTATTCACAACAAACATATAACAAAAAAAAAAAAAAAGTGGAGCTGGGTTCACCGAACATAGTTGCTGGGTTCGATGGAATCCAGCCTGGGTTCCACTAAACCCAGCAGATGGGTTCCATCGAACCTAAGCTAGGTTCCCTTGAACCCAGATCAGCTGGGTTTGAGGGAACCCAACAACACAGAGGAAGAAGAGGAAGAAAGAAAAGGAAGGAAGAAAAAGAAAAAAGAAAGGAAGAAGATGGATTGAAAGAGGGGAAAAAGATGGATCAAGAAAGGGAGACAGGGGTATGAAGGTAAATTTGTAGTTTTTTAATTTTTTTTATTAAAAATATAAATACTAATCAAATTTGGTTTATAAGTTGGCGTTGACATGTCATAAAAAAAAGGTCTAGATCAACACTTTTTTAAGTTGTTTTTGTTATGTCATCAAAAAAATATAAAAAATGCCACATGAACAGAGTTAACTGTCCAAATTGACAAGAGGACTAACGGTGTGCATTTCTTAGAGTTGAGGGATCAAAAAAGCATAAAAAATTGTTAAGGGACCAAAAATATGCAACTAACTAAAGTTGAAGGACCAAAATTAACATTTAACCTATTATTTAATATTGGATATCAAATTTTTCTTTGAAGTATGACTGTTTTGCACTGTTTTTATTACTTACTAATTAATAAATAGAGATACACTTATGCATTATACTTAAATAAGAT